ATAAATAAGTAAATAAATAGAAAAATGGGTATATAAATATATAAATAAATAGAAAAATGGGTATATAAATATGTAAATAAATAGAAAAATGGGTATATAAATATATAAATAAATAGAAAAATGGGTATATAAATATGTAAATAAATAGAAAAATGGGTATATAAATATATAAATAAATAGAAAAATGGGTATATAAATATGTAAATAAATAGAAAAATGGGTATATAAATATATAAATAAATAGAAAAATGGGTATATAAATATATAAATAAATAGAAAAATGGGTATATAAATAAATATATAAACAAATACTAAAAGAAATCAAGTGAATAAATAAAACCTGAATAGACGTGGTGATACCTTGTTGAGGAGGGTGAGTTTGATGTCTTTGTGGGAACCTGAACCTCCGTAGTTTCCAGGGGGCCCCATGTTACCGGGTCGAGGGTGTACTGGGTGGCCGCCCCTAGTCCCAGGTCCTGACCTGGGAACAGGATTTCCTCCTCTGGGGGGGACCCCAGTCTGGTCCATTTTCCTGCGCTCGTCCCTGAATGGTTCATCTTTCTTTGATGGTCTTTCTGTGAGCAAAAACAGGCATGATTTCAGCTGCTAGAAAACCTGAAAAACAGCTAAAGGTGAGTATATAGAGACCTGTGGCAGATTAAAACAGCTAAAGGTGAGTATATAGAGACCTGTGGCAGATTAAAACAGCTAAAGGTGAGTATATAGAGACCTGTGGCAGAGTAAAACAGCTAAAGATGAGTATAGAGACCTGTGGCAGATTAAAACAGCTAAAGATGAGTATATAGAGACCTGTGGCAGATTAAAACAGCTAAAGATGAGTATATAGAGACCTGTGGCAGATTAAAACAGCTAAAGGTTAGTATATAGAGACCTGTGGCAGATGCTAGTTAATTATTGAACACTAATTGATTTATTTTGTACGTTCTTGACAGAGGCATTTTTGGATATATATTTGAAATACAGAAATGCATCACTAACCCCTGATCTTGTCCCGTCCCTGTGGGGACCGCTCCCGTGCAGACCCTCGCTCTCTGCGCGGCTGATTTGGTGTGGGTGAGCGGGAGCTGGCTGATGAAACCGGGCTGGCCAGGTCGGCGTACATGTCGTCTGAGTCGGCGCTGCGCACCGAGCTGCTGCTGGACGAGGCCGACGACACAGACGACACACTGCTCACGCTCAGAGACCTGAAACAGGACAGGGTTAGGGCTTCACACACAAACCAAACATTCACACACACACACACACAGTCGGTCTCTCACCTGGATTTCCTGGAGGATTTCCCAACAGAGGCGGAACAAGAAAGAACAGAATCCACAGGTATTAGTGAATAGAAATGTAATATGTCAAAAATCATCAATAAAGCTGTTTTTTGCATAAACTGGCACAACCTGTCGACAAATTATTATACAGACACACAACAAGCAGTAACAGAGAGCTCATAACCTTTGACCTTGATCCTACAGGTAGAGTGATGAAATAATGACATCACATGTTGTGTAGTGGTGGTACTCGTGTTAAGTTTTATTAACTCTTGAGTGGATCAGAAGGTATGGGCAGGATGAGAGAAAGTTGCAGAAACTAAACCGTGTATCAGTTCAAGCTGAATGCAGGAAGAATTTACTTATATGTTCATACATTTATTAAACTAACTCAACTTTACTGTTATTCTTTCAGAAAAATAAAAGATGAATGTTGTGTTATGTTCAAACATGTCTAAACTCCTCACAATGTGTAAAACAAAAAAACACAACACAGCTGCTCTACCAAGCTAACCTTTAACTCAGATTTTACACAAACATTGTTCTGATGAGTGTGGTACAGTACCTGGATTTTCTGGATCCGGAGCGTGAAAGGGAGTTAGAAGAGGATCTGGATCTGGAGCTAGAACCGGTATAACTGCTGCCACTTCCACTCACACTCCCACTCACAGTTCTCCTGGAGACCAAATATTTTTTAAAAAATCAGTTAGACGGGCACAGAGCTCATTTTGTCCCACAGTGACAGTAACTGTTACTGATGTTTTATTTAGTGTTTGAAACAAAATAAAAAATACACAAAATACATAAAGTGGAGGAAATCCTGCTCATTTCACAAAGATCAGATGATCCAAAAACAGAACATTGTAGAAGCATTGTACAGATGATGTAATACACAAAGAACGGTTTCTGTTACCCATCCTTTCTGCTGACACTGAGGCAGGAACAGAAAAAGCAGGTCTGATCCAGCGAACTATCCACAGTCTGGTTCAAAGTCTGGTTCAAAGTCTGGTTCAATGAACTATCCACAGTCTGGTTCAAAGTCTGGTCCAATGAACTATCCACAGTCTGGTTCAAAGTCTGGTCCAATGAACTATCCACAGTCTGGTTCAAAGTCTGGTCCAATGAACTATCCAAAGTCTGGTCCAATGATCTATCCAAAGTCTGGTTCAAAGTCTGGTCCAATGATCTATCCAAAGTCTGGTTCAAAGTCTGGTCCAATGATCTATCCACAGTCTGGTTCAAAGTCTGGTCCAATGAACTATCCAAAGTCTGGTCCAATGATCTATCCAAAGTCTGGTTCAAAGTCTGGTCCAATGATCTATCCAAAGTCTGGTCCAATGAACTATCCAAAGTCTGGTTCAAAGTCTGGTCCAATGAACTATCCAAAGTCTGGTCCAATGATCTATCCAAAGTCTGGTTCGAAGTCTGGTTCAATGATCTATCTAAAGTCTGGTTCAAAGTCTGGTCCAATGAACGATCCAAAGTCTGGTCCAATGAACGATCCAAAGTCTGGTCCAATGAACGATCCAAAGTCTGGTCCAATGAACGATCCAAAGTCTGGTCCAATGAACGATCCA